GGCTATATCCCCGAAAGAAACACCCAAGAGCTCTCGTTTGAGAACTGAGGCAGGATCCATGCCAATGACCTGTGGCCAGGAGACGCGTGTTTCATTGCACCAGCTGAACAAACACTTGCCTCGAGGATGTTTCATGCGAACCAAACAACATAGATCCTGACAATGGTCCCATGGAAGACTATTTTCCTCTACCAACCAGGAGCTTTCAGGTTCCATGTTAGTCTTCCAGGGTGTAATATACCAGGATCATCCGGGTTGGGTGTCCAATGGAGATCCCTGCCATGTGCGCCCAATGGACTACACTGCACCAAACAGGGAGACACCCAACCCGGACACCGGAGGAGTTAGGCCCAACTTGCGGTGCCCAACCCGGTTGTTTCCACCCCGGGGTCGTTCAAGAGAAAGACGCCACACCAGCCGTGACCACTTGCTCCGTAGTACTGGTGACCTATCCAACTTTGCTGACACGGCCACGGGTCACAGGATGAAGGAAACACCGACCGTTGCCTTCGGGTCCGACGCAGCAAACGATAGCAGTATCCCGTCACCACCGGTTGCGAGATGGGTCGCACCTTGCCCTCAACAAGGAAGACAAGGTAGAGGCTCAAGAACGCTCTGCCTGATCGAACGCGTTCCACGTCAGCTGGCGAAGCACCGAATGTGACTGCTACGCAGGCTAGGCATCACAAAACGGGCGGAACACCTAGGCGCAGGAAACACGAGAAAAGGAATTGGGCCCTACTGTAAGGCACACTGAAGAGCAACAAAAAGACCAACAAACAACATGTCCCAAAAACATGACCAGAAAGCAACAAAACTCCCACAGCACACCCGTTATTCTAAGCTGCACAAAAAAAAACCGAATCCGTTTGCTCGGCTGGTTCTCCGTCTTCGCAGATCAGATCTGGCTCGGCCTCGCGCCCACGTCCTCCCCCCTCTGACGCCCACGTCTGGCGCCGTCGACTCGTGAGTCGCTTGGGCATCGCTTTGGGTCTCCCCCGCTGAGACACGCGAGCAGAAAGGGTGCCCAGGGCCAGGTCAAGGACCTGAGAGAAAGCGCGATGCCGGAGGATGGCGGAGCAGCGGACCCGGCAGTGACTGCGAAAAGCCAGTCCCGGCAGCTCTGGAAGTCTTTCAGCTTGGGGAGAAAGGATCTTGGAGGGACATATCTCGAGTTGGTCACAATCATGTGCCCCAAGAACCAACATTCTACAGAAAGCTTCATGTTCTGAAACCATTCTGAATCATCAAACGGAATACTCTCCCAAGTGCAATCAATCCAAGCAAATATTGAATCAAACTACGAGTATGTATCAGCAACGCTAATCAATGCAACAAATCAGAGATGCCGTCAACCAGTTGGCTTTGCTGGAAATGCAATATCAAAACAACCAATGCAGAAACAAGCAAACATTATGCAATGAGATATATGTTGAACGCGTAGAGTGGGTGAATGTATTTTGGAATCATCCAAAACAATAATAGTATTGCAAAAATATGCAAGTCAGGGTTAATGGTGGACAATAGAACAATAGACTTGGTGACTTGCTGCTCTTGACACTTGAATGCAAATGATGAATATATAACTGCGCATGCCAGTGTTCTTTCTTGATCTATATATATATACTAGATTACTAGATGACGATAAAACCAAAAAACATGCAAAAACACGTGCCTCTTTTTATGAACCCCTTCAGTCTGTCAGCCGCAGGAGCCGCGGCATCTTCTTCCTCTGGGCTTCCGAGCCACAGGCTGTTGGCACCCATTCCACCTGGCCGCGCCGTGGAACGTTCCAGGAAACATGGAAGTGAAAAACTGCGGAAATTCCGAAGTGATTTGATCTAGGCATCCTCCTATATCCTCCTCCGACCATTGACTTCCACGTACTTGATCTCAGTTTCCAGGAGAACGCTCCTTCCAATTGCCAAAAGCAGTGTTCCAGGAACATGGATTTTAACTGAGCTTTCCTCCAGATCCTGACGCCCAAAGTCCTGTACAGTCTGCAAGATTGCTGAGTTCAACCTTCTGCAACCAGAGGAAACTACGCCTAAAACCCAGGCGAACCCTAAAAACGACCGCACACATAAACCCTTCCTCCGACGGCAAATTCCTCATATACACAATATAGTACACAATATATGCCCATCTCCGAAAGAAAAAAACAAGAGGCATTTCCGTAGTTTCATTAAGTCTTGTCCAGGGTCAGGCCCCGAAATGATTTGTACGTGAGATATCTTGCGATCGTGTTCCCCTTTGTTCAATTTGGAGCCATTTCCAGGAATAGGATGGAATTGATACATCCAGGAACTACGGCCGTCCACGTCTGCGATCGGATCGTGAGCAGTTCGTTGCGGATTCCGTGCGCACGGCTTGGGCATAGCCTAGCAGCCTAGCATCGTGACAATGTGCCAAACTCTGTCTGAGGAGTCAGAGTAGCATGAAAAACAATACCCAAACACGACCCATGGGACTGCCATATTTGCCAATCAATTGGGGTGGTGCCAGGGGGTCAATGGGGCGGCACAAATGGCAGTCCCATGTGTCGTGTTTGGGATAGTCTGCTCTTTTCAGTGCCTTTCACCGTCGACGGTACCTATCATGCGATCATGGTGATGTTTCCCAAGTGCCCCCCAAACCACCCCGCACTCACTGCGAGTCAAGAGAAACACCTGCGACATACCTGAAAACACCTCGACATACCTCAACCAAGATCTTGCGGTGCCAAACCATTCAGTACCAGCCACATGTTGCCCAAGCCAAGCACAGGCACACTATACTTATAGAAAGTTCTGTAAACCAAGCCCCAAGCAGGCTCTATAATTTGTAGAATACCGTCGCAAGCACCTCATCAAGTTCACAGTCTTGTCCCACCGCCAAAGGATCTTTCCAAGAGTGGACCCGACTGCCCCAAATAAAAGCACAAACAAAAGCAAAGAAACATTCAAGAGAACTAAAGCAGTACTAAAGCACAACATGTTACTCAGTTTCATTATAGCTTTTGATGTTTCTTTAAATCCAAAACCCAATTTCATGTCCCGTCCGATCTCCAAAACCACATGTCAGTGGTGCCGTCGAAGCAAGCTCCCCCCGGCGACGGGACGGGATGGGGACGGGCGAAAGAGTCGGCGCCTTTCTCGGACCGAAATGGCTTCGGTGCCTCGTTCCGGACCGAAATGGCTTGGGTACCGCGCCGTGACGAAAAACACCACGGGACCGTGAAGGTAAGGAGCCAGGAAATCCGACAGATGGTTTCCATGGTGCTGATGGTTTTTCTCAAGTTTCAAGGTCGTTTGCTGAGCGCCTGGTGAGGTGCCCGCGGTCTAAACATGTTTAGATGTCTCAACAGACCAATGGGAGTTTGAATATTATATAATATATAATATATATTATATATACATGCATATATATAATATACATACTTATATGATACTGATCCCCCTTGGAATTAAGTGGGGGGGTGGGTGATATCGATTTTGTAGATGAAATAGCAGCGGGGATGCTCCAGGGGTATTGACACGAGCTGGATGCTCTAGCGCTCGTGGACTGGTCACCGGTGGACTGGACTGGTGGACGCCAGTACTGGTCACCGGTGCGACTTGTGTTCGAGTCGTCCTCCCCAAAGACGCAGCTGATGTTGTATGCTATCCTAATACCTGGGCCCAGTGGATGATGATGGTTAGTAAAGGCCTTGTTAAGACATAGTGATAATGGTTTACTGACTGTTGCAGGCAAGAACGGACAGACCCAACTGATGTAGCTCAGCCGCACATGTCCGATACGGTCCGACCACAGGTACCCTGAAGTGCGGCGCGCAGCCTCAAGAGCAACTCATCCTGGCAACGGTCGACGCGCAGCTCAGCTGAACATCCCCACCCCTAGGGGGGGACCTGTCTAAATGTCAGCGACGTTTTTGTGTTACTTTGGGTTGAGAACATGTAAGTTACATTTTCTTGGGGGTTACCTTGAAACATGTAAGTTGCATTTATTGAATAAATGTAAGCTACATGTTTGAACAAAAAAACAAGAACTTGGAATGTGTAATTTACAATTGTTGTAGGCTTCACTTTCTTAACACCTTTCTGTGTTTGTTCACGTTCGTCTTTCAAACTTGAATGCAGTGACACTGACATGGTTTGCACTTTGTTTTTCTTTTTTGCTGTGCAAGTGCTTGTTTTTTGGATCTGTGTGATCCTGCTCCATGCTGCACCCTACAATCCAAAAGAATCCCAGGATTCAGATTGCTTCAGTAAAATTCATTAAATCACCCCCCAAAAAAAATGCTAAAAATGTAGCTTACATTTGGACAGGTCCCCCCTGTTTGTAGAGATAGGGGGTTGGAGGTCTCTAAGAACTGCTCAAAGTCCCTGGTGCTTGGTTGTCATGCATCTCAGTGAAGTCTGGTCATCAATGTTCATAATTATATGTTCATGCACCGCCGGAAAACAGCCTGGTAACCTTGAAACGACAATCACCGCCGCTGCCGAACATTGTCAAACAGCTTTGTCCGGCCTTGCCCAACAAACCAGCCGCCAACGTCTGTCTGTGCACCCCACTACCCATCTCAGCCTTCCCAAACTCGAGGTGTCATCAAAGCAGTCTGACAGACCTGGTACGAACATCTTATAACTATTACAGCACTGGCCGAGGTGTTGGCCCTCGCCGGTCCATGTCCCTGCCCCTGCAGTCATCCTTGAAATGTTTGTTGCACCCCTTCCGATTCTGGTTCACGCGATTCTCCTGCGGTCAACGAGCGGGTCAACGAGCGAGTAGGAAGCGATAATTAATTACATGGATTCCAGTGTCTTCGAGACTAGCCAGAGGTAGTCTACAAATGTGTCCATGCCAATGCAAAATCTCCGGAAACCCAACAAAGTCAATGGACAATGCTGTCAGGGTCTCCTGACCAGTCACATCCGAGTCACTAAAGTTTAAAGACCTCTCATGCAACTGTCCCAAAACTGAAAATCCTCCACCCACATTTTGCCGCCCCTTTCAAGCCCCTAGGTCGCTGATCGACGTGTCATTGTCATGCACCTTTTTTCGCGTCCGCTGTGAGCTGGCGGCCGCCAGGGCACATCATTCACACCTGGGCCCCTACTGACAGGGCAGTGGCTTGAATCTATCACTATACCTTTCGTCTGGTTGTGTGAAAGGGAAACAGCCTGAAACAAGGCCTGTAGTCCAACTCTGTATCGGTCCAACTCTTTTGTTGGTATCCTGGGCTTCCCGGACGCACACCCCACTGCTGGTGAAGACGTTGCTCTTGATCCAACAAATGGAAGTCCAATGCAATGGCTTTCAGCAACGTCCTCACGGAGTTCAGACCCTCCACGAGAGAAGAACAGTCGAGAAGACGACGGGCTCCGGGAACGGGACCCGTCCCGGCGGAGAACAACTACACAACGGCCGTTCAATTGCAGTCGAAGAGTGACTCATGCTAAATTATTCTATCATACCCCAGGATGCTTTAAAAATGCCCAAGGTCTTATCTGAAGCTTGGCGCTACAAGGGACAAACACACATAGCATGTTCATGATCATGAACTCTAGGTGTATATATAAAACTGCATGTATATAGCATATGATAGATTTCCAAAATGTCTTTTCCCAAAATGGTGCACTCATCGCAATTCCATGGGGGCCCGCTTCTAAATCTCCTTTATAAACTCCAACCACACTCAAAGCACAGGGATGTTAAACATGAGGGCATGTCAACTGCAAAAACTGTGAGAGGTGTCTAGAACGGACCTTTTCAGGGTCCTGTTGAGCTGCTGGAGCTGTTGTTGTTGCTGCTACTGCTGCTGCTAGACTTCAGCAGCCGCTTCCAATTTTTAGTTCTCAGAAATCTTCAGAACGACATAGGAAGGACGGAAGGGAAAAATATCCGTCGGTTTCTTTATCCTGTCAGATTTTTCTTTTTCCTGTTTGCTTGTCTTCTTCTTGTTGTGCATTCTTCTTCTTCCTCTTATTGTGTGTTTTTCCTTTCTCTTGTCTTGCTTCTTTTTCCTGCTCTCTGCTTGTTTCTTCTTTTTCCTGCTTGCTTATCCTGTTATGAAGAAACCTAGCGCCAACCTAGCGCCAATCTAGCGCCAATCTAGCGCTGCCTTGCTGTATCACCATAGTCTGCTGGGGGCACGCTTCTAAACGAAGACTTAAAAACACATCTCCAACCTTAAACGTTTACGTTTATCTATATATATATTTCTTGAGTAGGGCTTTTTGAGCGCAGTCCATCTATAGAATTGGTATTTGTTGCGGTATATTTCATGTGATACACACCATTATATGTATGTATCCATGATATCACCCTGCGGTCTTCAAGCCCACCCACTCAGTCAGCCCACCCGAGCTGACCCTCGCGCCGAGCCGATGCTGCAAGCGACTCGAGTGACCTCGCTACGACGTCGGGCCGACGCGGACGCGTGGACCGGGCGCATGGACCACTAAGAGGACATGAGCAAAGGAATCCTAAGGACCTATGAAGTCAAGAAGTCGACCTCATGAAATACCGACGTCCAGGTCGTACATGTTAGCACGCACTAACTATGAAAAAGAAGGTTAGTAACGGTTAGTATAAAGGACCAGGTTTTACATGGTTTTACTGGGTCTTTGGCCTTGTATTGTTGGGCCTCCTGTTCGTCCAATATACTTGTATCGAAAAGTGGTCTAATCTGAAGGTCCACTTTCTACAACCAATGTCTGTTACATGTCCTGTGAAAGGATCGGTTGATGTGGGCCCGGTGGGAGTTTCACTCTGCATTTGACGAGAATGTTCTCCATCTTTCTCCCCCAGGTAATTATCAGATCCTCATTAAGCCTCCACTCAGGCTCTTTGTGATCCCAGAATTAGGATTCCTCTTGGGGTGCCAGAGGCAGAACACCGCTACTGCTGGCCTGCGATGCCAGTGTGCCGACCTGGGTGCCGTGGAGACTGGGTTCGTTGGTTTCGAAAGCATCGTCTCCATCTCTGGTCACTGGGAATCAGGTCAGCGAAACCCGAAACCCGACACCCCTCTCAGTTGGCTCACCTAGATCGATGCTCGGAGTCTTCCTCTTCACCAAAGATCTCCAAAGTCGTCCTTCGTTCAAACCGCGGACGACCCGAACACACGTTCGGCGGAGCCTCGAAGATGCTGTAAACGACATCTTCCTTTTCTCTCTCCATTCACTGAAAACCGCTCCTCTGGTGAAGTGGATGTTCCTCCCCGATGTTCCGAACGTCCCTCTCTCCTCACGACCGACCCGGCGCCCGCACGACGACACGCGCACGGCTCAAGAGGTCGATGTCAAACATCACCTGCGACGGTCGCAGCGGTCTGAGGGCCGCAGCTGCAGCCCGACTTGGTTTCATCAGGTCTTGAACGAAAGGGCCGTGGCTGGACTTGAGACCGGTTTGTCGCGTTTTGAGGTCTTAGAAACATGAGAAGGAGATCAGAAGCAGCGTAGCTACGCTGTGAAGATGGTCAAGGGCGGTGGACACATGTGGACACCTTAGCTCGAAAATGGTTGAAATGTTCTAAACCAAATATACCAGGAGAGGAACCTAGCTGGAGCACAACCCTTTTTCTGGCAAACCGCACATTGGCGATGGCTCGACACAGACTCACTGACAGCAGGGACAGCAGGGACACAACCGCGATTCTCGGCTGAATCACTTGCATTGGAACACCCCATTGGGATCCGCGGCGACAAACTGAAAACGTGTTGACATTCTTGCATCCCCTCAAATCCGTCGCATCGGACAGAGTAAGAGTTGCAATTTGTTGTGTTTTCCTGGCGCGGGGTATCTGGTGGCGCTGGGTTTTGACATGTTTGTCCATCATGACAAATCCATGATATGCCAGAAAATGAGGAAGTGGCAGTGGCACTATTGAGCTTTCAGTAGATGCCAAACACGGACAAAGCGAACACTGTTCAGCAATCTATGTGCTTGTCGCCATGGGCACACCGGTTTGACCGCACAAACATTGAATGGCTTGTTCATGCTTGTTCCACTGTATGAAGCTCGTACCTTCCCCAGTACGTCACGAGGTGTGTATTGAAAAAAACAGGGTCACCAGCCGTTTTGCTCGCAAGTACAAATAGCAGCGGATTAGTTTATTGAGTTTATATACGACCCTTGGTTTGGGAAGTTCTTTTGTACACTGTAGTTCTCTGCATTCTGAGACCTACCAACCGCCCCTCGCAGCTCAAACTGCACTCTGCCCAAAACTTGCCCCGCCTCGGCCGCCATCTGAAGGGCCGTGCCGTCACTGGGCATGAAGTTTGCCACCTTTTTCGAGAAAGGGCTTGGGGGGAACTCTCATGCCTGCCCCGGCGTCAAGATGTACCATCAAATGAATATATCTGTACCTTTCATTCCCATTCCCCGTGAATGATGGGTTGGATGCCTTTCCAGGCATTTTCTAGAGTGAGAAATGGCGTCTATAAAAGGAGGGGGCTGGGGATACAATGTCTACAAAATGATACACTAGACATTTTCTATAGAATGCCTACTACAGTAGTGATTCCAGAATGAAAATCAGACACAAACATATTGATTCTATATAAAATGAGGAGGCGTTCTATAAAATGCCCTTCTAGGGAACATGATACACGCATGTACCATCCCCTGTGCGTCATTTGGGTCTATGAAATGCTCTGCCTGCCTCTTGGTAACACCATCCCCCATAATTACATCATAATCCCACAAAAACTCCTATATAAAATTGATATCCAAATATCTCAAATGATACTTGGATGATCCAAAACGATGTACTCTCCATAAAATGAAATTACAAAACCCATTTCGGAAAGTGAATGGCATTTTCTACAGCCAGCTACTGTTGTGGAGTATTCATTCCCCAGATTCTGGGAGTCTACCAGGTCACCACAGGAACAACCTGTGCGGTGCAAACCGGTGCGGCAGACTCGCAGCGACCTCCACGCCAATGGCACTCCGCCGCTGAGTTTCGGAATCCAGAAGACCCAGCACCTGTTGGGAGCGGACGTGAAGTGAAGGCCGGGGAGAGAGAGAGAGAGAGACACAGGGCCCAGGGCGCCATGAGGTGGTTAATGGATGTTAGGACACCCCGTATCACCATCCGAATCACCTCTAAGGAGCTATGATTAGACACCTCGGAATGGGCACCCAAGATAAAGATATGGAGACATAAGATCCCCAACTTCAGTGAGTGTTGGAACAGTTGGACACCAGGGAGAGCGATTCGCGATTCGAAGATTCACACACACACACACGTTGCAAGCAACTGACTGTGGCATCAAGTCATCAAGTCAGCAGCCCACCTCGAGTGATGGGTTGTATGAGCGCACAAGGGCTTTGACCTCGGATCCCAGGGTCCGCGGCTTTCCGAACATGCATGGCGCTCGAGAACCAGGGAGAGCGGGTTTCTGCTGCGAATGGATGTTTGTCTCCCCCAAGGCAGATTTATTGACTATAACATGGCCTCAGCAAGTCCCAAGTCCCACGATGGTCCTCAAGGCCCTGGAATGACGGGACCGGAAGGTGCAGTAAGGTGCACATGCCCTCATGAAGCTTCAACTCCACAATGGCAAAACATGACAAACCGTGGGCTTGTCTCCGAATCGAGCACCTCCACCCCAAAGTAAAGAAAAACCTAGCAAAAGGACCCAAAAAGACCCGCTCAACCGGGCTTCCGGGAGTATAGTGGGTTCTCCCCTCGGGATGATCCATCCGGTTGTACAAATCCACCTGTCGCATCTTCTCGCGTCGAGCGACCTCTTGCAAAGCATCCATGGAGTCGGAGGCCACATAGAGCCTCAGATATAGCATGCAACGTCCTTCCGAACAGTGCCAAACATGGAATCTGGACCAAATGAGGGGTGATTTGGATTGAAATGAGAGCGTAGCAAACCACAAATTGTTTTTTTAGTTTTAAACTCGATCTGCTCCCCGAAGTGCACCAAAAAGGGCGGCTACAGTTCTTCGAACAAGCAAACCGATTCTCCTACGACCACTTCGCTCGCTCGTCCCTCGGAACCGAGCGCACAGACTGGCATCTCGGCTGGCAAAGTTGAAGCTCTTCTGCCCAGTACAGAACCTCCACTGAGTTCCACACGTGGCGACCGTGGCGAACGTGGCGAACGGTGTTTCACGCACCGTAAAGGACGGAAGATGTTTGGCGCGGTAGAGAGCGGACAAATACAAAACTCCGTGGGGGGCGTGGCGGCCATTCTACGTGATCCTTATCCAATCTCCTCTCTCAGGATCGCTTGCGGATTTGGTAAACTACACACAAACTTACACGCAACTATCCCAGACACCCCATGTATGCCATATATGCCGCCCCATTGACCCCCCCGGCACCACCCCAACTGATCGGCAGTCCTATGGCAGTCCCAGACGGGTCGTGTCTGGGTACAAAAACAAAACAATGTGGTGATCTTCCCTTGTTGACTCGTTGACCCCTCCAGAGCTGCATGAGCTGCACGAGTTCGACACCCAAACCCGACCTGAACCACGTAGTCTTCGGCAGAATGGTACTTGTTCCAAGGGTTGGTGACCTCCACAGTTCAGGCAGGCTCTGCGCGTCTTCAGTCCTGGTACACCCTACTCCCCTAGCACCTAGTTGGTCCGTAGACCTGGGCCTGGTATTTTGGTTGAAAGAATCACTGGGCCAAAGCTCCATCACGCTACCAAAACTTCGTGTGTGTTCGGCAGTTTTGACACAATCCTGTCCTTTGCAAGGGGTAGGATGCTTCAATGTGCTTGGCAGAAAAGCATGATACGACTTGAGAGGCGGGGGGGGTGGACGAAAGGTGGGTAGGCTGGGAGGGGTTGCAGATCGGAAGTCGAGGCATGGTCCGGCGGTGTGGCCAGCAGCATGTGGCCTTGAGGTGGTGGTGGTGGTGGTGGTGGTGGTGGTGGTGGTGGTGGTGGTGG